CACGAGTTATATGCAAAATTTTCTAAATGCAAATTCTATTTAAAAAGTGTGACTTTTTTGGGCATATATTCAATGAAGATGGTATATCTATGGATTAAAATAAGATCAAGTCAATTGCATGTCTAGACCAACTGTTACAAAGGTCAGTAGTTTTTTAGGTCTTACTGGCTATTACAGGAGATTTGTGGAAGGATTCTATAGGATTATTATAGCATTGTCCAAACTAACATGAAAAGCAATAAAAATTGAATGAACATATCATTCTGAGGAGACATTTCCACAAGATGAAAAATTGTTAAATGATTGCCCTGGTTTTGACTATTCCTTCAGGTTAAATGAGTTTCAAATTTAAAGTGATATTTCATTTAAAAAAATTATCGTATGTGTTTATGCAGCATGAAAGAGTCATTATCCATGTTTCTATACAGTTGAAGAATCACGAATAAATTACTCGACACAAGACTTGGAGTTAGCAACCATTGTGTTTGTACTTATGATCTAGAGGCATTACTTATGTGAAGTTAGATGTGATGTGTTTACTGAATATCAGAGCTTAAAATATATATTCATTCAGAAAGAATTGAACTTGAGATGGAGAAGATGACTAGAATTTATTAAGAACTATGACTTGGATAATCAATATCATCCAGAAAGACAAATACAGTTGTAGATGCGCTGAATAAGAAGGGTTTAAAACTTCAGAATTGATTACTCAGCAGGAACAATTAATCAGGGATATGAAAAGATTAGAGCTATTACTTTTTGATTATAGTGATGGAAATGTTGTCAAGTTAAATTAGCTAATAGTTATGTCTGCTTTAAAAGGCAGAATTGGAAATTCACTGGTCAGATATAATATTGTTCAGGAGATTTTATAGCAAGTCAAGGCATGCAGTTTGGAAATATATATGATAGATGTAGATGGATTGTTGAATTATGAAGGCATGACCTATATTCCAGATGTAGAGGGGTTGAGAAAGAAAGTTGGGAGGAAACTCATTTATCTAGCTTTACTATTCATCCAGGGAGTAATGAACTATATCGGGAGCTAAAGGAAATATTTTTGTGGCTAGGATTGAAAAGAAATATTGCATAGTTTGTGACTAAGTGTTCTGCATATCAGCTAGTGAAAACAAAGCATCAAAATCCAGGTAATCATTTGTAACTATTGCAAATAACGTACTAATAATGGGAGAAAATTATTTTGAATTTTGTGGTTGGGTTACCCAGATGAAGACAATGAATAGATACTTTTTTGGGTTACCATAGATAGATTGACCAAGTTACTATTTCTTGCCCATTAGATAGACAGATCATGTGGAGACATTAGCAAGGTTATATGTAGATGAGATTGCACGATTGTATGTTTTACCAAAATTTATAGTTTCAGATTGAGATGATATATTGGCATCTAGATTATGGAGAAAATTTCAGTTGTCTCTAGATGCAAGATTGACTTTTAGTAGAACTTTTCACCCATAGATAGATGTTCAATCTGAGAGGACTATTAAATTTTAGAAGTTTTACTATGTTTGTGTACTTGATTTTGGTGGTTGATAGGAGACATGTATTTATAATAGGTTTTGCTTATATAATAGTTATCAAACAAACTTGAATAAAGTGCATGTCACCATTTTGTTGGACTGAAGTTGGTGAAAGAAAAGTCATTGGTGTAGATTTAGGCTTCATTTGAGAACGAGGCACACAGCACAGAACGACAGAAATGTTATTCCCATCTGTTTGGTATATTCTTGTCTCCTCACGGTGCATCTTTCTCAAAGATGTTCCACGGCCATTTTAGAATGCGAGATCTCTATGGCTCCGAACCTACCTCCCTTGCGTTCCACCTTTTGGAAAACAAAAATGTCCAAAAAAGCCTCCTCCACATTAGCCACCATCCTTTTCACGGTCGAAGAAGCTTTTGTGCTACCCAAAGCTTTTCGTTTGACCTGCTTTCACTAATCGATATCAATATGCAAGCTACAAACAAACTCGAACATGGAGAACATAAATTGAATTTCTACTCTTTTTCCACAACACTCGCGTCAACATAACCAGTTTGTTAGCAAGCAAAAACAACTATGGTGCAAATTAGTTTGGAGTTACCGAGCGATTCATTGCTACTACCTTAGCTCCCCAAAGAACGATCTTAGGGCAAAAAAAGCAGGAACAAAATAATGGCGGGGGGTAAGAGGAAGAGAGAAGGAATATGAAGACGTTCCCATAGCAACACACTCGTCGGCCCAAACTGGGGAGAATTGAGTTGATCTTTGGTTTTATATTTGAGGTAGCTCGTCATGCTTTCCTAAACCTATGAGCACAACCAAAATCTTCTCCGGCTGCGAGCTCTGTTGCGTCACTTCTTACTTCACTCGCGATAACCTCCTCAGGCGGCTAAGGAGACGCCTATTGCAGCTCTTTCCCGGATGTCAACACAAAATCCAAATTTCACTGGCACATTGGTTTTTTATTTTAATTCATAGCGTTGAAAAGTAGAGAGGACATTTTATATGAAAAGTAGGGATTTTATTTTATCAACGGTAACTTTATAACCAAAATTTTAAAGATAAAGTGCTCTCAAACGAAATCTTAGTATATGTTGTCAATAAAAAGATTCGTATGATTAGAGAGACATTAAAGTTGTGCAAGAAAAACAAATCAAATATTATGATGTTGGCCACATATTAGTTGAGTTTGAAGTCAGAGTATTTGTTTTTATCAAAATCATACCATTAAAGGGTGTGCACTGTATTTGGAATGATAGGGAAGTTGAGTTTATGATATGTTGGTCCATATGAAATTTTGGAGAGGATTGGAAAGATGGGTTACTGATTGGCTCCATTAGCTACATAATATTTTTATATTTCTTTAGGAAGTTATTTTTTATAAATTAAATAGAGTGATTGCAGATTTAATTGATATTCAACATAGTTTAATATATATAAAAGGGCGTAAGAGGATATGTGAATATGATATGAAGAAATTGTCACAAAGATATTCCATTTGTAAATATTCTATGGAAGCAGGGATCAGAAAATCATGCTATTAGGGATAAAGTTTCAGATATATAGGAAAGAAATCCGTGGCTATTCAATTGAGATATGTTTGTTCTCATTATAATTTTTAAATTTCAAGGATAAAATTTTTATGAGGGGAGATTATTTTAATAAATATTTTATAAAATAAAAAATATAATGTTCACTTTTTAGATTGACTAGCATATTCTTTCGAGCAATCTTGTTAGACATTTACGTAAAAAATTTAACCTATAATGAAGTGATAATTATTCACTATGTTGTTTGAAGTTTAGTAAGTTTAATTTTCTTTTAAGATAAGATCTGCTAGGCTGGTATGACTGATAAGAGGACTTAATTACCGGAGAAACTTGATTGTTGATGATAGGTAGTAGACTCTTTGTTTCTATCTTAAATCATTTTTATTTTCTTATATTGTTTCAATCTTTATAATTTCATCTTATTAGATGTTATCTATATATTGTGGATTAGCTGCTTTTTGATGGTTGAATGTTATTGTGAAAAATTATTACTTTTTAAAATTTTTTTATGGTCTGAACATATATTGTGGATTAGTAGCTTTTTGACTCTATATATTGTGGATTAGTAGCTTTTTGATGGTCCGACTATCCATTTCTATCTTTGTTGATTCCAAACTTTCGAGCAGAGGCCGTGACACCCCCATTCTCCCCCTCTAAAATTTTTTTCGCTCCACTATTAGCCCTCAATATTTTGAAGTTGAGATGTAGACTTGGTTCACATATGATAGGTGATCAATGACCTGATGCTGTTTTTATTGTAGACGAGTGAATATCCTGGAAAAGCAAGTATCAGTTGGCTTGCTGGAAGGTAAGTGTCTGAGGTTTCTAAACATGTTCTGTTAATATTGAATAGTAATTTTTTACTTCAACATGAGTTATTTGCATTATAAATTAAGGATGCCTTGTCTTATATGAGGTATCTAATTTGTCCATAACCTAACCAAGAGAATAATTGAATGCACGTGAAATTTACTTGTGGCTCTTTGGTACCGCCTTATGGGGAGACCCTTGAGCCACAACTGCAATGAAATTATAGGGAATTCTGACTCTATATTATTCATCCATTTGTAAATAGGTGACCCTTGAGTTACTTAGATAGTTAACTTTGAACGTCACAGAATTTTTACCCTCGAACATGCAATGTATTGGTCAGAAATAAAATGAAGAATCTCAAGTGGCCAAAGTTAAGCGCTCATCTTGCCCGAACAAAAAAAAACAAAAAAAAAAAGGAAACAAAAATAAGGATTTTACATTTAGACTTGATTTATTTATTTATTTTTATATAGAAATCTTGTGAAACTTCTTAAGTAGCATGAAGCTAATTTCTTAAACATCGATACATCTTTTGGTGTAATGGTTAGAATTTTATCAAAAACTCTCAGAATTAAGCGTGCTTTTGTTGGAGCACTTCTAGGATGGGTGAACTCTTGGGAAGTCACACCAATTGGACAAAATTGTGAGACCATTAGGCCAAAGTGGATCATATCTCGATGGTTGAGCGCTTGAGTTGTTGTAGATCTGTCCACTTTGAAGTTCGGAACAATTCCACAAAAGGAGGCTGGAGTACATAGGAATTTTTACAACCGTTTATTTTTTGTAAACTATTTGTAATACTTGAAGTCTTGTGTTTATAAAATTAACACTCTAAATATTCTCATTTCCAATAATATCACTCAAATTTCAAAGAACAGAACGAAGCCCCAAATCTTTTTTTTTTTTTTTTTCATTGAATACTCCACGAGTTGCCTTATACTAATAAATTCTCCGAGTTGGTCTTGACACTTGTTAATATGTAGATTTCCTATTTCATTTTCTGGAAGTGATGCTAAATTTGTAAATAGTGAAGACTTCAAAGTATTGATACATATGATCGAGTATCTAATACGCAATCATCGAACCTTCCAAACTCTCTCTGAATTTTTCTCTCTTTATTTTAATTTTTCAGGTGAGCTCGGAGGGAGTGGTGATAAGAGATGAGAAAGTGTTCAGGTTTGCAAAAGAAAAGAATGTTCCCATTGTCATGCTAACTTCAGGTACGTATTTCCTCATAATTGGTTATGACTCCTCATTCGTTCTCCTAAATGGATAGTCTTATTAAGCCAGTTTTATTTCAGGCGGATATATGAAATCAAGTGCTAGAGTTATTGCAGATTCTATTATAAATCTCTCTATGAAAAAATTGATTGATCTGAACCCTTCTGCAAATAACAATATTTAATATTCTGAAGGCATAGCCGTGCTGTATTATAGACGTCCATCGCATTTAACCATGTAAAAATGTACATACATAAGAAAATATTGCTCCAGAAAGCAAGCATTTATATAATGTATGTACTGGATGCACACAACCTCACCTGTTCTTTGTTTGGTATGATTTATTTATAATCGTCTTTACATTTGAAATTGGTGATGTTTGGCTCTTGATAGTGCTCGCCTTTTTGGCATTTTTAATAAAATAAATTTTTGGGAACATTTTTTCAGACATTCATATGCCAATTGCTTTTAGAAGATTTACATGCAAACCACTTAATTCTTATGTATTTACATATCTAACACCAAAATTTTAATTTTTTTTACATATAAACCGCCTTATTTATACTTGGAAAATGTGTACTTCACTTGTAAAAAAATTAAATTGTTGTTGTATTATTTATGTGATATGAAAGATTTGGGTGGTATAAATGTAAAAAAAATAAAGTGAAGATTTTAGATATATAAATACATAGGAACTAGGTGGAATGCATGTAAATGCCCCAAATTTTAATTTCCTGTTTACATTTTTATGAGTCCTGTTTGGCTTCTCTAATGCAATCAATTTTTCGGACCTGCTTAACAGGCTTTAAGCATCATATTGTCGTTGATACTATTTGCTTTTAATGAGTTGCAGAGATAATTTTTTTATTCTGAATGGCAAATTCAAAACTTATGGGTGGCAAACAATGGAAAAGTTATATAGTTGCTTCTATCTATTATCATTATCATTATGATTTTTATTATTATCTGAGAAAATAGTCATTACTTTTATTTTAAATGGTTTATATGTGCCGTTAAATAACACTACTATGCTTTCCATGTCCCCGTGAAAAAATTATTTCATACGGACATCGTATACAGAAATGCATGCGATGTCCGATCTCGATAGTCGATCAGATTTAAAAAAAAAAAGGGTTAAAAATGGAGCCAACTGAAATACACATTTGCTCTGATCGATGGTCGGGATCAGATAACGTATACAACTCTACATATGTTGTCTGTATGGAATAATTTTTCGTCCCGCAAATTGGCAAAATGTAATGTACATTTTGTTAATAAAAAATCATAATTATATTCACATGATAACATGATATTGTATTAAATAAATCTATTCATTTCTGACACGGTTCTCTTGAGGCGTAAATAGCTGTTATTGTTGACTGCATGATTTTTAAATATAGAAAAGTTGATTTATTCTTAACTTCTATCAAATGCGTGCAGTTATGGTTTAATAGTAAACTCTTAAATTAGGAAATTTGGTTGAGGTGGTGGCCGTTGAGAGTCCGAGTTTGAGCTGTGTTGGGGTCGGCTCGAAAAAAATTTATTGTTTATTTCAATTCAAGCCAAAATCTGAATAAATTTTTGAGTGATTATCAATCTTCGAGTTAAATTCAATAAATTCACAGTTCTAACATCACTATGGTTGTTAATGATCCGACTTCTAGAAGAACTTAAGTTTAAGGTAATATAATTCTAGAATATTATTTTGTTTCTGCTTTGTGCACAATAGCCATTATTAGAGAGATTTTGTTATAGCTCAAAGTCAGTCTATTTAGTATATTCAAATCTACGATCATTTTGTTATATGATAGTTTTTTTATTGGATGGCATCTTGACCATCATCAGCTACACTATTTTCTTAAGATTTTCTTGGGTGCTTCCACCATGTCAACCATATATTATAACAAAGGCTTAAGGGATTACACTCGAGCATCACCTACGATAAATACTTCCATGAAGAGGAAGAAAGAGAATTGATTGATCTTTGATTGGATGATGGTATGAAGGGCAAGAATATGAACTGTCTGGCTTTGTGGCTTGAGTGTTGGCTAGATATATTTTCGTGTAGTTTAACATGATTGAAGGAATGACTATAGTGATATTGTGATTGTAGTGTAAATTTGTTATAACATGTATGTAAATATAGTAGTCTAGCTGTTAAATGTAAAATTATAATAATTTTTAGTGGTGTAAGTGTAAAGCCCCCTTTTATTTATTTTTTATCATCTCTCAGCTTACTTGATCTCTTCCAGTTTCCACCCTCTTTCCTGAGCACTGCTCATTCCAAACTTCCAATGGCAGACTACGGCTCGATCCCACCCGCCTCTTCTCCTCCGTCTCTCGATTTCATCTCCCGCGCCAAACAGCGCGGCCAATCTGCTCTTTCAACCCGCCGGCCATGGCGCGAGATGATCCAACCCCATGCTTTCTCCCTTCCCCTGAGCCTCGGCGATGCCTACCTCCGGATCCGCACGAACGCCGCTTACTTTTCCATGAACTACGCCATCAGCGTCGTCTTCGTCGTTTTCCTAAGCCTCTTATTCCATCCCGTTTCGCTCCTAGTCTACGTCGCCGTGATCGCGGCATGGATGTTCCTTTTCTTCCTTAGGGATCAGTCACTTGTGATCGGTGGTCGGACGTTTGAAGAATCTTATATTCTCATAGGTCTCACGGTTTTCACCATTGCGTTATTGTTGATCACCAATTCTACGCTGGACATTATTGGATCGGTGGCTACCGGGATTGTGGTGGTTCTGGTGCACGCGGTGCTGCGAAGGACCGACGATCTGCCTGTCGATGAAGAGGCAGCTGCGGCCGGTGGGTGGTATGCGGTTGCTGGGGAGAGCAGCAGCAAGACTTCTCCGGTATCGTAGTTCTGGACTATCTAGGTATTCATTTCTGGATTTGTTGAAGCTTGGGGGTGTTTATTTGTTGGGTCTTTTTCTCTGTTGTATTTGTACAGATTTCGTTTAGGCTCAAATTCCTTGTGTTATTTCTCAGTATTCATAAATTATTGCAGTTTTTATGCTTCTTTGTGTGATTTAAATGTTTCGAATGCCTGTGTTGTGCATTATTCAACTTCTCGCAGGCTAATTTCAACCGCGCATTCAGGATGTTTGTAATACTACCATTCAACGGTCTCCACCTTAGGTTTTTGGAAGAAGGCATTTTCTTTCGTGGTGATCTATTTTGGTGTCGTGATTATAGAGCTTTTGCTATGGCCCCCAATCCTTTTCCCACTGTCTTTTGTACAAGTATGTGCGTTTTCATGAATCTGTTCATCTTCTTTGCCACGATTGGCAATTGATTAGTGCTTATTGGAATTGTGGTCGAATAATGCTTTTGAAGATTTTTGGTTTTTGTCACCGATTTTATTGAAGGTTGGAGGGTTTGATTGGTTTGGGTATTGATTTTATATGCTCTGTATGACGCGGGGGTGCCATGTTTGGCGTGGGGGTGCCCTGGGCTGTGCAGGCGCGACAAGCGCCGCAAACAATCATTTCGCGCTACCGTTCTGTCAGCTGGACCAAACTAGTCCAGATTTTCTCCCTTTGGATGAGCGACTCCTCCTTTTGGGCTACTCCTAATTATCCAATTAAATTATATTTTTATTTTTTATGTTCTAAGTTTAATTCTTGGAGTGAATTTGTGTAGGACAGCCCCCGATGTCTGTTTCTCTCTTAAGAGTGTTGTAATCGAGGGATTGAGCGGTGTTTCACTTGTAACTTTCTCTCTTGATGTGATGATTATCTTTCTCTATCCCCTTTCTTATTCTTCAACTTCGCTGCTGGCTGCCCTTTCCTTGCTGGAGCTGCCCGCAACAACATTTCAAGTGTTATTTTTTGCAGTTCCAGTAGTCGCTATCGCCTTCCTCTCCATCCTCATCATTGTCATCACAGTTCCAACCCTCCATCTTCACTGCTGCCATTGTTCCCTCCCTCGCCTCGCTGTTTTGACCGTTGTCCAACCATATGTAACTTTGCAATCATCCAAAAAAAAAAAAAAAAACCAATCATGTTGTTTTCTTACCATCCACCAGCCGTTCTAGCCTTCTCACTGCACCTCACTATTCCGCTTGCCAACCCATTTGATGCCTTCGTTGTCCCAGCCTTCCGCTTTGTTGGCAACGTGATTCCAGCTCCTCCTTTTGTTATCTCAATAAACTAAAACTCATTTCAGTCACATACTTTCGTTCCTCAACCACCTAGCCGACCTCCACCACCCATGAATCAAGTCATAGTGTGAGTTTGTGTCGTGTTTGTTCTAATTTCCCTTTCAAATGGTTTGATTGTAAATGTCTATTTACTTTTAGTGATAATATTTGTTTTTCCTATTGTGTTTTGAGTTAACTACAATATAATTTAGTATCAGTGCTAGTCTAATCAGTAACCTATCCTAGGATTATTATCATCCATCATACTCAAGCCTATATCCACCTAAAATTTTTCTTTCTCACTCTATATCACCCTTACACTTCTCCTTCAACCTACCTACATAAAAAACCTAGCTATGCTGCCATTGCGATAATCATGAGAAGTTTGATTGAGGGAAAATGACACGATGTCGTTTATGAGAAATTCACAAAGTGGTGCCTAAAGGATTTCTAGGGAGGATATGGAGTTGGAAACCTGCCAGCTACTACAAAGGCTTGCCACCTTCTAGAAGAGGCAATCCAAATGGGTCACTCATAGCCACAAGAGTGATTTTCTAAATCAAAGTAATGGAGTGAATCTCTTCCACTATGTGGATTTAGCGTTGAAAGATCTCTTCCTCAAAGATATGATCTAAAATATCTGAGAAGCCATAATTTGGAAGTAAAAATGGATTTGTCTTTTTCTTACGACCACATGGATCCAAATGAGTTCATTGAGCCCAACGTACAAAATGTTGAAACTAGCTGCCAACAAGCTAAAGAAGTGTTTATTATTTTGGTGACAAAATTTGAACTACCTATGACAGCGTGAGGGAAAAGATAAGATCACTATCTGGTTCGAGATGAAATGAGAGATACAGTGCCAATACCTACAAATTCACCACAGATCAAATATTCAGACCCTAGCTTCAAAAGTTGAGAGATCATATCACCGGATGACCACTGAATCCCACAAGTGGAGTTTAACCTCGGGATCTTACAGTTAGAGTACACCAAATGGAACAAGTAGAGATGAGGTAGAGTGAACTAGAATTCCTAAATATGTCTCAGCCAGAAATTGTATTAAGTGTCACGGATTTAGGAATATTGAATCGAATTGCATGAGGTGGGTGATATATTTCATTAAGTAGGGAATGGTTGAAGAAGTCGAAAATGACATAGTAGATATTGAAGAGAGTGACAATGCGAAAGATGAGTGCCAACTGCCAGCCAAGAAGAAAGAGACGCCGTCGATTCCAGTTAAACTCAGAATATACATTCCAGCTGAGTTGACAGTACTGTTCTAGAAGTTAGTGAGTCTAAGGTAATGAGTGTTCACCACAGATCAAATGTTCAGACTCTAGCTTCAAAAGCGGAGAGATCATATCACCGGATGACCACTGAATCCCACAAGTGGAGTTTAACCTCGGGATCCTACAGTTAGAGTACACCTAATGGAACAAGTAGAGAACAGGTAGAGTGAACTAGAATTCCTAAATCTGTCTCAGCCAGAAATAGTATTAAGTGTCACGGATTTAGGAATATTGAAGCGAATTGCACAATGAGGTGGGTGATATATTTCATTAAGTAGGGAATAGTTGAAGAAGTCAAAAATGACATAGTAGATATTGAAGAGAGCGACAACGCGAAAGATGAGTACCAACTGCCAGCCAATAAGAAAGAGACACTATTGATTCCAGTTAAACCCATGATATACCTTCCAGCTGAGTTGACAGTAACCGTTCTAGAAGTTAGTGAGTCTAAGGTAATGAATGTTCATGTAGAGTATGAGATTATGGTGCTTCGAACTATATTTTTGCAGGTCTTTGAATGAGCATCAAGAAGATTGGAATTGAATATCCAAAGGGGCCATGAGTTTGAGGAACATATATTATACACAAGGCAACTTTAGATAAGAAGATTTCAAACTTTTCATATATATAACCTATCTTTTGAGTTGCCCTTACTGAGAGAGGTCCAACTTATCAATGATAAGAAGATTTTGAGTTACATATGGAAGATTAGATGGAGTTGTTTGAATAGTAGATTCGGTTTAGCAGTGTACCCACCACCAAATGGACAGACGAGAGGGATGAACTACGACTTTGAAAATTTACTTAGAAGCTTGATGAAGAAGAAAATTCTTCAATGGGATCAGGGTTCTATTAGTGAAGAAGAAGAGATCTCTCTTGAGTGGTTGCTAGTGAGAGTAGCGTAACCTGCCACAAATTTCATCCCATAGTTGATTTCTCCACCACATACTTGTTTATCAGCTACATTTTGTTAAGTACGAGAAGTGGAAGAAGAATGTTTCACATTACGGAAACCTACATCTATATGTTACTGCAGCTCAGGATGTGACAAAAGAGGATGCATGTTTATTATATTAGGACATATTGCAGAATGTCAGTGCTTAAATGATTGACTTGTTAAGCGATTATCATTCTTGATACATTCAGTGAGGTCGACCTGACTATTATAAGAAGACAGAAGCTATGATAGATGAGGTCGAAGCTTCCTCAACTCCAGAAGACTGACACAGAGGCATCCTGCCAAGCACAGGGGTGCCCATGCTTGTGTGAGAGCAGCAAGTGCCGCACTTGATCGTTCAGTGAGACCCATTCTTTCACCTGGACTGAATCGATATAGGTTTTCTTATGAGGAGGCGATCGATCCATTTGGGCCACTCGTGGTTATATTCTTATTATATATTTGTATTTCTGATGTCAGGTTTAGTTTTTTGCATGAATTTGTGTAGGATGGTCGTTGAAGTTTGTTTCTCCCTTTGAGGGTTGTATCAGAGGAATTGGGTGGTGTTATTGTTCTATCTCTTTATCGAGGTGGTGATTATCTTTTCGTACCCCCTTCTGTTTCTTCCACATCGATCTCTGTTGCTCCTTCCCTACAACAGCTGCCTGCAATAGCATTTGATTGTTCTTTTCTGTACTTCTAGCCGCCATCATCACCTTCACCTCCCTCCTTTTCACTTCATCGCAGTTCTAGCCATCCATCCACCTTCACTTCCACCACTGTTCTCTCCTTTGCCTTGCTATTTTGACCGACATGCTGCCATCTGTAACGTTGTCGCCATTCGGAACCTGTTGTTTTCTTGTTGTACCCTAGCTGTTCCAACCTTGTCGATTATTCAATTCTCGGCCTGCTTCTGAAGCATTTTTTTTAATCTTGGGGTATTTACATACATACCACTCAATTCTTATGTGTTTACATATCTAATGCCTTAACTTTGATTTTTACATTTATAACACCAAAATATTTCATTTGACATAAAAATTTCACGATTTTAACTTTTAAAAAATGAAATACACTCTTTAGGTAAGGTGGCATATATGTAAAAATTGAAGTTTGGGTTAGGGCTGTCAAAATGGCTTGTTGTTTGTGAATAACTCATGTTTGGCTTGTTAAGAAGCTCGTGTTTCGTTCGTTCGCTAGGTTAACAAGCCGAACACAAACTAAGATTTGTTCGTTTGTGTTCGGCTCGTTTATATAATTAATGTGTATTTGTTCGTTCGTGTTCGACTCGTTTATATAATTGATGTGTATTTTTAAAAAAATTAATTGATTATAAGACTACAAAGATTTATAATCAATTAAAAGTTTTAATAGAAAATAGAATAAGAAAATAGAATAAAAAATATTAAATTAGATTGAAATGATGTTTTAATATAAACAATAATTTTTAAATTTTTCTCCTGTTCTTAACATTTTATGGCTACGTGATTAGGGTTGTCAAAATAACTTTTTGTTCATGAACAGCTCCTGTTCGGCTCTCTAAGCAAACAACCCGAACAAGAACGCACTTTTTGAGCTCGAAATATAAGCGAGCGGAACACGAGCCACGAGCTGAGCCTGGGCTCGCTCGTGTTCGACTCATTTACAGCCCTAGTTTTTGTATTAGATGTGCAAATACATAGGAATTGTGTGGTCTGCATGTAAATCTTTCTTTTATGTTTGTGGCTTGGTGGTTTTGATTTATGAATCTTCTTCTACATGTGATTGCAAAATATTTATTCTGGTCCCAAACTCAAGGTTGTAAGTAATGAATAAGCTCAATATTTCTTCATACTAAGATCCATTTATATCTGTTTGTTTACATAATTAAATATGATTAATTGCTCATCGTATTTATAGTTTATTTATGAATGTGAACATACTCATTTGTTAGCTTAAGAAATAGTTTCTTAAAAGTCTATCAAATGTTCATTTAATGACGTTCTATGTTAAAATTACGTATATTATGGGTGGTATAAGTCTTATGAAAGTATCAAACAAATAATTTGATATATATTAAGTATATATGTTATATATATATATATATATATATATATGAATTTTTCCTAACAGCTTAAACGATGCCCAGTAAATAATCTCAATATTTAAATCGTTATCATCAAATATATAATTAATTAGGCTCGATTATAATTTGAAATTAGAAAATTAATAAAAACTTGAACTATATTTTAAAATTTTGGTGATATTCACCCAAGGCTCTTGGTAGGAAAAACAAATGAACCATATTGAATGAAACACTACCATTCATTGGATCCTCGATCCTAATCGAAAATTTTGGAGCTCTTCAAACATCGATACAAAAAAGAATTGTAGGAGAAAAAAAAAAGGAATTTGTTCATTATTCATTATGCTTCAAATTACTCAAGTGGGGGTATTTATTCGGAGTGTCAAAAATTGACCGAACATGCCAGCTCGACTTGAACCCGATTTGAAAAGTTTGGGTTGGATTTGTATTAAAAATCTTAACATGTTTATTTTTTTTTTTTCCGGTTAGACTCGGGTTCAAAAAATTAATATGAATTCAAATTGACCCGTCAACTCTAAATTGACTTGAAATCATCTCACCAACCTGGATTTAACTCTAGATTGACACAAAATTGACTTAAAATTGACCCAAGCAGCTATTATTTCTTATTTTAAATGGGTTATGCGAGTTAGTTTTAGGTTTGTAGGTTGTGTTCGGGTTAGTTTTAGGTTTGTAGGTTGGGTTTGGATCAAGCTCTTTTGGTTTGGGTCAATTTTAGGTCAAACTCAAACCAGACCCGCAAACCCGATTTGACACCCCTATTATCTATAGAATACAATGCATACTTAAGCTAAGCATTCTATAATTAGTTGCAGCTAAACCCCCAAATTAAGTACAATTAGGTTCAAATCATCACTTGATTCACTTCCCTTTTACAATAATTGTGCCCTCAATGTTAGATCTCTAAGTCAACTGAATTGAGGCAGCTACCCATTCAGCCACAACTTTAAAGGATTCTTTTTGCACATAGGACCAACAAAGATGTTACTTATAATAATTTTGACCATAGGAGACTTGAGTAACTCGATTTGTTCTTCGAATGAGCCAATAGTTGATGCTTGCTCATATATTTCATCAAAAAGGCCATTGCCATCCAAGATTACATTAAAAATTGCTGAAAAACTTTCAACCATTTTAATGTCCAAAGTTGTGCACGAAGCTTTATCAATGGAAGAGAATTCATCTTTGTATTGATCTCAGCTTATTATTTATGGGACATAACTTTTTATGTCGTATGATGTGTTATCTTTGCTCGGTTGATATTGGCTTTAGAAAATCCTAATTTTATCTTGAATTAGAAATATTGTATGTAGAAATTGTCGGTGATGCTAATGTTTCATATTGAATGGAAAGTCCAATATTTTCTGAAAATATGTGAATCGCGAAATAATATTCTTAAAAAATCTTATTAGAAGATGTTGTGTTATGATCAAATTTATGGAGTATTGTACCATAAATACTCAACTGAACAAATTTCAATCTCCATTAAGAAACTTTTATCGAGCTTAGATGTCAGCAATTATATTATGATGTATTGTTTTTGGGTAGGGGTGTAAACGAGCCGAACACGAGCGAGCTCGTGCTCG